GTACGCATGTTAAAAAAAAAAAAAAATCAATAAAACTATTAAGCAGCATGTAAAACAAATGTTTCTTTACTGAGTGTATTTAGTGGACTAAAATCCAATTTCAAGTTGAGACAATGAGTTGACAAATTACAGTGTGATACAAAAAGCAAATATTGCCTCTGCCCAGATGTGCAAATCAGGGGAAATAAAAAAAATCCTTCCATAAGACCCAGATTGGTCGATTATTTTAACATTTTTTCTAATAACCTTTAATAAGATGATAATATAATTCTGAAAAGGCTACAGTACTGTGACAAACACTTATTTGGTGCTCCAATCCACTTCACAGCAATGAATGAAATAAATTTAAGACATATGCATATAAATAAAGAAATCTACTTTCAAGTGTGATGCTTGCAAAAAATGAAAATACCTAACTTCACTTAAAAAAAAAAAAGCTTATTATTACCCATCCACAGGCTCAATAATTGTCAAATGATAATGAGAGTTTTGCTTGCCAGTCTCATTCTCTCTATAATGTCCAGTCTTCTTGATACAGTTAAGCAAAGTGAAAACATTTCCAATCTGACTCTCTAAAGTGTAACTCAGGCATATGAACTTGCCAGAAGTCAGTCTATAATTTAAGGTGCACTTCAATCGTAAACACTTCAAGACCAAATATCCACAAAAACCAAATTTTAACACCACAGACCATGAATCTAGAACAACTGTTTTAGAGCAGTGTAGTAACACAACCTACATTAGGCAAGGATCAAAAGCCTGAGTTTGATAAGGTAAAACGAAAGTGTATGGTCAAGAAAGGAGAACGAGGTTACCATGACAAATTAGGATGTGGAATTTTGTGCGAGGATCAAGGCATCAGTGCTGTCAGTATCATTTAACTCTCTGTACTGTGGACTGGTTAGGAACAAGCATTGCAACACCTGTTAGAAGTTTTTACAATTTCTTAGCTGTATTAATGTTTGTCTTTACATAACTTCTGTTTTCATTGAAAAGCTTAAGATGAAATGTTTTTGTACCCTTCATACCCATAAAAGTTATCAATTTAACCTGTGATCCTTTCCACTTGGTCCACATGCAGTGCAGTTTTAGGTCAATTAAAAAAAAAAAAAAGACTAAGAAATTCCCCACGTTAAGCAGCCCTATGAAAAGAAGTATAAATGGATAAACTGTTAATCATCCATTAGGAAATACATTAATATGTAACAAAATAATAATGTCAACTCGGGCTCTTGCACTGGTTGTGATGTTAGTTTGATGAATACACTTACAAGTCCTCATTGTTGTTGTAGTTGTTGATGAAGTACTCAGGCACATCATTTGTTCTCTAGATTGGGAGAAAAGATGATAATTGGAAAACTTCTGCAATGCATGTTCCTTATCACACACCTTTAGAAACCATATTCAAAAAGTGCTTTAAAAATCAGAGTGAACAAAAAAAATCCAATCAAATCTGTGGATAACTCACTCCATTCTCCAAAACGATTGGATGTTCTGGTAAAAACTCAGGTTTCTTCTTAGCCACTGCACAACTTGCCAACTTGATGAGGAAGTCCCGAGTGTAGCAAATTCTTTCGGCTACAGGTTAAAACAACAACAACAAAAAGTATTACCTTAACTCTATATTATCAGTGCATTGTTTTTTTCTTCTAATTCCAGGTATAAATATCTCCTTGATACTTTTAAGGAATTAATACTGAAGCAGACACTTGCCTTTCTTCTTTGGTTGGGTGCTGGTGCTTTGAAGATGCAGGATTTCATAGAAATGCTCCACTTTAATAATGTTGTCCTGTTCACAGTAAAAAGAAAATTTACTGGACAAAACAAAAAAACAACACTCAGAGGAAAAAGATAAGTTTAAAAAAGGATGCCAGCATCTGCAATTCCAAAGCATGAAAATATTAAAATTGGTCTTACTGGCTTTTCTACCGGCTTAATTTCAGCATAACTTTGAGGCACTATAATTGAGATGTCCAAAGAAACACACCAACACGCACAGAAAAACATAATCAAACTGGCATCAACTGAAATATATTAATTTGCATTTTTAAAAGGGTCATATGATGCGATTTCAAGTTTTCCTTTCTCTGCACTTGTCGGAAGGAGGGACTTTGTAGAAAACGAAGCGTTTGAGAGAGGCGGGGCATAGAGGACCTACAATAATGTAATGTAATGTTTTTTGAACATTAAAGCATGTCAACATATTCTGTTACACCAAATACACAAAATAATGATCTTTAAAAAAGCATCATATGACCCCTTTAAAGATCAAAACCAGTGTGAACATTCACATTTTGTACCTTGATTTATGTTCAGACGGCACAGTGGTCTCGCTGGTTCCAGATTTCTGATGATCCTTTTAGACACATTCATTTTTCTGCTCAAGGACAAACATTTTAGTATATCATTGTGTGACCAGCATTCATAATGTAATAAATGCATGCGTTTTCTTTTATATTTTCACCTATTTTCATTTTATTGGCAAGCAACAGGGCAGTATCTGGCTCTATATGGAAGGACGCGATCCATTAGAATCAGACACACATTTTTTTTTTCTAATTAAATCATTCCATGTCTAAAAGCCATAAAATTAGTAATACAATTTTGAATATTTGCTTGAGCATTCAGAAGTCAAGAGTTCCTTCCCCCAACATTTACTGCTCAATTCTGAGTAAAAGTGGAAAAGAAATAAGCACATAAACAAGGTTGCGGACTAATATCAGAACATCATGATATCCTATCCATGCCATTATGAAGTCAGGTATATCTGTTAACATTAGTCATTTTGATTGCATGCATTGGTGGATTACATTAACATCAATTTTTCATGAGGCCATATTTAAGTTTAAGTAAATATTGGTCGTTTATAGCTCAGCAACAGGTGTTTCTGGACCTCATCACAGTTGAACTGAATGGTGTACAATATTATCCTCTTTTACACTAACATAAAACAAATAAACTGTGCATTATAACTGAGGCAGATGGTCACCAATCTAAGGCAGGGGATGCACTCAGAACTGTTCTTTTTATATTCAGAAATATAAGAAGAAAAACCCTGAAAACTATGATGATCAAATTTATGATGATAGATGAGGGATATTGGCAGCTTCCCTAACACCACATCCACATCAGCAATCTCAGTTCAGTTTTAATATTTCACACGACGAATGAGTCAGGTAAAAGTACTTTGTGAAAACCATCAAACACGTCCTGCTGAACTGCAAAAACAAAGAACGGCACATACCAATGTTAAATACGGTTAAAATACTGGAAATAAAGGCGTGAACTTTATCGTTTGACTCAATCGGCATCAACGGTGCTAGCTGCTAGCCACGATGACTGCGAACTTTTCCCTTGGTAATCTAGTTCTTACCACATAACATCTTCACGACAGACAAAATTTAACTCAGAATTATGCCACAACACAATTAATCCAAAATAAACGCCAAATTATAATACAGTGGCAATTTACAAGTTCTCACTGACAAAGCGTCCAGCCTCAGTCACCGCGCTGTCTGTCTCCGTCATTTCCAAAACACATTCATTCCGCTGAGCTCGTGACTCTCTTCTGTGCCTTCATTTTCACTCACTAGATCAACTCACAGTCTCACATACACACAAAATTATATTTAAAATATAATTATCCACATCTTCCATTGTTAGCTAGTTTTTGAGGGGAAAATGTTTATTTGTCATTCGTTTTTTCTCTCTAAATTAACAGGTCAGATCTCCTAGAACCAACATTATCATTATGATAAATGCATAAAATGCTTTGTATCCACCGATGTGATGAGTCTATCTTACTGGGGGGGGGGGGGAATA